AAGTCACTCCAAGAAAAAGAATTTGGAGAATAAAGAGAGACAGGAAATGTGGCCATAGAGAATACTGAAGAGTACAAATAAGCCAAAATCGCCATGAAAAATCTAAAATAGCAGGAAAATAAGAAGTAAGTTCTACGCAGATGACACCACCAACTTCGCCATCACCATCGTCTTCATCTTCTTCTTAGATTCTTTCTCTCCTCCTTTTGTTTTTTTTTGGCTTTTGGTGGTGGTGGGGTTGGGTTTGGTTTTTTTTTTCTTTTTTGTTTGTTTTTTGTTTTGTTTTGTTTTGTTTTGAGACAGGGTTTCTCTGTGTAGCCCTGGCTGTCCTGGGACTCGCTCTGTAGAACAGGCTGGCTGTAAACTCAAAGAGATCTGCCTGCCTCTACCTTCTGAGCGCTGGGATTAATGGCATGCATCACCATTGCCCTGTGACACCTCCAACTTCTAATAACTTGTGGTGACTCTTAAAGAAATGGTAAAGGAAGCATGACCCAACTAGAAATCTGTGTCCCCTTTCTTCACTCCCACTAACACCTCCCTAGTGCCAAACGTCTCTGTCTTCTATTGGCATTACCCTCCCGTCTCTGGCCCTAACCATGCATGAGTCTTGTCTTCCAAAGACCTTTACATAGGCTTCTCTTCAATATCCAACCACACCCATGCCCTGGCCAGTTAGTTTCAACAACTTCTCCCAGTGGCAGCTCAAATGCCACTGCCCTAGACATACTTTCCTTAGCCGCCCAACCCAGCGCAAGTGCCCATCTTCTCTCTCAGCGTCCATCAATGCCCCTCTGTTGTCCTTATTGCAGCTCAAAATCACGTATTTCTTTGCTTGCTTTGTCCAGCACAGTGTACCCAGAGCTCATCACTGGATACAGCAAACAGTAAAGATCCAGTAGAAGTTTGTGGAGCAAAGATAAACATGGAAGTAGAGAATTAGGGCATGATGACCCTGTAAGAGGGAGAAGGATCTCTTTCCAAAGCCTTCCTAATAACTGCAGAAGAAAAGAAAATCTGTCTCAACTAGTATCAGGACACTAGGCCGCATGTGTGCAGAGGGAGCAGAGTGTCTCGGAAGCAGGCATGTAGGGGAGTGTGTGTTGTCTTCTGCAGACGTCGAGATTCAATTCTGCTGCCTCTGCAGATTCTTTGGGTAGATTGTAGTGGAGAATCTCTCATCTGACTGTGGGAATTGGGAATTAGTCAGCAATTTCCTAATAGCTCTCCACAGAAAAACTGTGGCCTTGCCTCTTGGCATCCTGCTCTGCTTGGCTAGGACTAAACCAATAAGCACTGTGACTTGGGTACTCTGTGTATCTTTGTTCAGTTCTCAGAATAGAGCCGGCATTTGTATTGTTTCTCAAAGTAAACTAAAACCAATCATCAGGGAATAATTTGGTACCTTGACACCAGATGGTGTGTGTATGTTGACAGAGGAGCAAGTTAATCTGCCCACTAAGTGTGAAGAGGCTTCTTACCCAATTTCTGTTTGAAGAGTGGGACCACACATCTCTTGTTGCAGCCAAATGCACAGCATCTCTTCACGCTGGACATGCCTTATGTGTGGTGCACAAGTTAGAACAGAATGGCCCCTGAATAACTTTGGGACTACCTCTTATCCTCTCTGTTTCAAAAACAGACACACAGGAGCTGGAGAGATGGCTCATGAGTAAGAGCACTTACTGTTCCTACAGAGGACCAGGGTTCAGTCCCCAAACTGGCTGTAACTCTGGTTCCAGAGAATCTGATGCCCTCTTCTGGTGTAGGAGGGTACTCGCACACCTGTGGTGCACAGAAACTTGAACAAGCACACACACATATAGATCAAAATAATACGTTTTTTCAAAGGCATGCACTGAGGAGATAGTTAGTCAGTAAAGCACTTTCTGGACAAGCATAAAAAACTGAGTTTGGGGGGCTAGAGAGATGGCTCAGTGGTTAAAAGCATTGCCTGCTCTTCCAAAGGTTCTGAGTTCAATTCCCAGCAACCACATGGTGGCTCACAACCATCTGTAATGAGGTCTGGTGCCCTCTTCTGGCCTGCAGACATACACACAGACAGAATATTGTATACATAATAAATAAATAATATTTTAAAAAAACTGAGTTTGGATCTCCAGCACCCACGTTAAAAATAATAATAACACTCAGGAGGCAGGAGGATCTCTGTGAGTTCAAGCCCAGCCTAGTGTACAGAGGGAGTTTCAGGACAATCAGAGCTATTACACAGAGAAATCCTGTCTCAAAAAAACAACAGTCGCCTGGCAGTGGTGGCGCACGCCTTTAATCCCAGCCTGGTCTAGAAAAGCTAGTTCCAGGACAGGAACCAAAAGCTATGGAGAAACCCTGTCTCGAAAATCAAAAAAAAAATAAATAAATAAATAAAAATTTAAAAAAAACAGTAGTAATAATGATGATGATAATAATAATAATAATCTTTAAAAATAGAAACAAAAACCAGGCTGGTGAGATGGCTCAGTAGGTAAAGGCACTTGCCAAAAACCTGAAGACCTGAATTTGATCCTCAAGTCCCACATAGTGTAAAGAAAGAACCCGTTCCCACAAGTTGTCCGACATACACATGCACACCCTAGCTGCTGAACACACACTAAATAAAAATGCAAATAAAGTTTTAATTTTTTTTAAAAGAGGCAGGTTCAGGGGAAAGAAGTTGAGACCAGTTGCCGTTCAAAATGAGCTCCATTGGGAAGGAACACCTAGGACCATGGAGGTCATGATCACACGAACTGGGATTGGGAGAGGATAAGAGGGACAGCCTAAAGTGAAAACAAGACAAGACAGCTGAGGTGAACAGCATGCAGGGAGGTGGGGGAGGGGAGAGTTTCTCCAGGGAGCGGGGAGCCTGGCCACAACTCAAAGCCAGTTTCAGGGGAGGCTCAGAGCTGTTTACTGAGACCAGGAAGAACATTTGTTTCCAAGTCCTTGCTAGACCAGGAGGAGAGGGACCAGAGCCACAGGGGAGCCAGGCTGGATTTCCAAAGGCGGCCAGAGGCTCTGTGATCTAACATCTATAATCCCAGTTCGCGGAAAGAGGAGGCACAAGGACTCTAGGTTCCAGGCTGTCCTAGGCTGCACAGCAAGATCCTGAGAGGAGAAGGGAGGAGGAAGAGGAGGAGGAGAAGGAGGAGGAGGAGGAGGAGGAGGAGGAGGAGGAGGAGGAGGAGAAGGAGGAGGAGGGGGAGGAGGAGGAGGAGGAGGAGGAGGAGGAGGAGAAGGAGAAGAAGAAGAAGAAGAAGAAGAAGAAGAAGAAGAAGAAGAAGAAGAAGAAGAAGAAGAAGAAGAAGAAGAAGAGCCAAGCCTGCGGGTTCCAGGCTGTCCTGAGCTACCCAGCAAGACCCTGACTTCAGAAGGAAAAGAAAAGAAAAGGCCAGGTGTGGTGGCACACACATGTAATCCCAGCACTCAGGAGGCAAAAGTGGGAGGATCCTGCATATGAAGTCAGAATGAGCTATACAGTGAGATCCTGAACTACGTCCCTAAGTCCTTAGTGCCTTTTCTAAAATCATTATGGGGGCGAGGAAGGGGGGCACATGTATGGCCACATGTGTGTGGAGCTCAGAGGATAGCTTTTTTTTTTTTTTGGTTTTTCGAGACAGGTTTTATCTGTGGTTTTGGAGCCTGTCCTGGAACTAGCTCTTCTAGACCAGGCTGGTCTCGAACTCACAGAGATCTGCCTGCCTCTGCCTCCCAAGTGCTGGGATTAAAGGCGTGCGCCACCACTGCCCGGCAGAAGACAGCTTTGTGGAGTCAATCGGTTCTCTCTTTTCACCTTTGCACGAATGCTGGGAACGGAACTTAGGTCTTCAGGATTGCAGATCAGGCAGGAAGCACCTCTACCTGCTGGGCCACTTCTGTGTACCCACCGTCCCATGATGTCCCATTCGCTATCTTGAGCAGGCTTTCCCTCACAACACTACTCTAGTCCAAAGAAAAAGGTATGAGCCACCAAGGGCACGTTCTTTCCTGATAGGAGACAAAGAGCTGGGGTATGGAATGCTTAGAGACCTCAAAGGGGAAACGGGTAACATACCAGAGACAGTCTAGGAGGTGGGAAGTTCTCTGGTTCTATCCATCGGAGAGACAAGGCCAGGAAACACACTGGGATCTTGCCCCTCTATGAGGTCTGCTTGGTGGGCCTTATCACAGCCCGTGCTAGAGCACTTCTGCCCGGCAGGCCATGACCTATCGCTCTGGCACAGACCTTTGCATGGGTTCTGATCAAGAAGGTACTGTTCCTCTTTACTAAAAGAGATTTCATACTAAATTGAGATAATTGGTTAGGACTAAAGAGATGGGGGGGGTGGTCAGCCTCTACCACTGGGGGCTGAAGAGATGACTCAGCTGTTAAGAACACTTAATGCTCTTCCAGAGAACACAGGTTCAGTGCACAGCACCCATCTCTGGCAGCTCCCAACCATCTGTACCTCCAGTTCAAGGGGATCCTACTCCCTCTTCCGGCTTCCACAGGCACCCATACACACTTGACATACATACAGAGAGACACCTACATACATCTTTTAAAAAAAGAGAGAGGGAGAGAATGAGAGTCAAATGTATCTCAAGGAGCTCAGCATCTCCATGAACTCCTATGCAGATCATCTCTGCAACCCCCTTCTCTTCTTGCCACACAGATACCCACACACCCCATGACTACTAAGACAAGTAAATCAGTACTGCTGCAGAGGAAGACACAGAGACAGAGACAGACGGACAGAGAGAGGGGACTGTTGCATGACCCTGTCCTCATTAAATGAACTCTAAGCAATAGCTGGACTGTCTATCCTTGTAAGTCCTAACTCCTTGTTGCAGGAGAACAACAAAACCCAAGTCAACTTACCCTTACTGTCCCAACATTCTTCCCATCCAGTTCTTCCTACAGAGATGATTGGCTCCACAGATAAGAAGCCTTAGAAGACAGGAGATGATCTCTCCCCTAGTAACTTTCTTTTAGCCAGGGACCCCAAATGATAGCTCACCGTGCTCTCCTGCAGTTACCCAGGATGCCAGGGACCCAAGAGCGAGAAGCGCCTTCGTGAGGGAGAAGTGGTTTAACATCCTGCTGGCGTTGAGGGTTGAGAGCTCAGTTCAGGGCAGAGGCAGCAGCAGAGGAAGGGACAGGACTGGGTAACTGCTGTCAATCCAATCCCAACAGTTTTACTTTATGCAGTAACCTCCCACCACCCAAAGAACGTCTTCTCCTCACAACAAGAACAGTGATTGGCTGCTGGTGTGTGGAAATTTTCCTGGCACTACCAAAGGGCCCATGTGATGGGAGGGACCAACTACTGTCATACAATATACATAACACTCTTAGACAAGTGATGCGGATCTCAATGGAAAGCTAGAAAAAATATGGAGAGGTAGCTATTGGGTTAAAGGTCAAAGAGAGACCAGAAGGACTTTGGAAGGACTCAATCGCAGTCAAAATGACAGAGGGTGAAGCAGACCAGCTGTTCTCCCTGGGTTCACACTGGGACCCTGGTGGGGAGGACCAGAGATGAGAGAATAAACAGGCCAAAACTGGGGTCAGGAAGGCTGTGAGGGCTAATGACTCAAGCCAGCAAGTTTATTAGTATCACAGTTCTTTCCATACCTCTCAAATGGGGAGGCAGAAAACAAACCAGGGGAGTTCATCCAGCAGGAGAATCGCAGGGAACTCTAGTTCCTCTTTTGCAAAGTTCATTCTGGTATGATAAGCAAAATATTTCATATCACAGGGTTTGTAATATACAACCACAGCTTTACATGAAACCATCGATCTCAGGGCACTGGCCTGGGCCCCCCAGAGCCCTGGCACCAGTCCACTGTTGGCCTTGCCAAGAATGGCCCTGGCAGGGAACAAAAGTTCAGTGTTCTTCCTTCCGTCCACAGAGACCTGGAAGGGCCTTTGGCCCTACCTAGCCCCTGACAGAGGGAAGAACTGGAAAGACAACTTCATAAAAAAATTACCAAACTAGTGCTGTAACTGAAGCCTAACATTCTGTCCATCCTTGGCAACTGTCAGAACCCACGGGAAAGCAGCCTCCAAGTGTTTCGGCGTCAACACAAGTGCACAAAAAGTTTACAACTTGGTGCCTGTGAAAGGGACTGAGAGTGATCATGAGTTAGTATGCAGAGAACAAAGATCCAGTCTCCCAGCCAATGGTCTTAGCCCTTGGCTTCGTGACAGGGTCTTGCTATGCAGGCCAGACTGGCCTCAAACTCCTGAGCCTCCTGCTACTTCCTCCTGAGTTCTGGGGTTATGTGCTGCATCACACCTGCCCATGGCCAACGGTAGCAATCACATCACAACAGTTCTCTTTCCTAACGCAAAACTCATACACTTCACACCACCTGATTACTGTAACTTACAAAGAGAAACGTTATCACCCATAAATCTACTCTTTCACAGATCCAGCTTACCTCTGAGACAGTGCTAAGTGGGGCTCTGGAGAACACAATTGCTAAGCCCTTCATCCTCAACCATCTAGGGGAAGGAAAACCAGCTCTCTGCAACAGGGCTAGTTCACAAGCCAAAACTCAACCTTCATTCCTGATGCCTTCAGACACAAGAGGCAGACTGACTAGGCTAGTGAGTATTTGGGATGGCACGGGCAGCCCTCCTCTTGTTGACTTTTCTGGTTCCTGAGTCGGATCGCTCCAATTCCAGGGCCTTGTATCAAGTTATCAGATGTCCAACAGTTTTCAAGACTTTACTTCGGACAGCCCCCTGGGTTGCCCAGTTGCAGTCTAGGCTCTGCCGCCCTCACATCTACACTCATCCCTCGGCACCCGAACACCCACACTCGGTCCCCAGCCGTCGTCCTCCAGGGGTTTGGAAGCCCCAACCTCGTCCCCACACCCAAGATCCGGAAATCCACCCAGACGAGGCTCCCAGGCGGCAGTTCAGTTCCCATAGCAACTGCACCGCGCACCCGAGTCGCGCTTCCGGCCGGGTGGCCGGGACGCACCCGTGACGTCACGGCGCCGCTTTCCGGTGGCTGAGTCGAGCTGAGGTTGTTGTGGGTCGGGGGCGCCATGGGGGCGACTGGCGACACCGAGCAGCCGCGGGGCCCCGGCGTGGCGGAACGAGGCGGGCTGGAGTTGGGCGACGCGGGCGCGGCAGGACAGCCGGTTCTCACGGTGAGGGCGCCCGGGCGAGGCCGGGGCTCGGGCCGGGCAGGGCCTCGGGCTCCCGGGCTCCGGGCCCGCGGGCAAGAGAACGCGGCGGCTGTGCGGCCCTGGGGTTGCCGTTTTCTCCGTGCCGTGCGACGACCTGGATTCAGATTCTAGCTAGGTGACGTGGGCCTGATGTGACAACCTCTGAGCGCCAGGTTTCTCTTCTGTGAAGTGAACAGCAGTAACCTCAGCTTGATGGAATTGTAGTGGGATGGGCTGATAAAGGCGGGTAGAGCGCCCTGACCCTCGGTAAACACTGCTGCTCTTCCTCTTGCCCTTCCACCGCCCTGACAGGGTCTTCCAGCCACTGAATTCCCCTTCGCCCCAAGGTGGGAGAAGTGAGAAGCAGGAACGTCTAGGTTTAGCTTTATACCCACTTTCTCCTCGTCCCCACCGCGAGGGACCTCGGTGACATTTGCTCCCTTGGTCCCCACAGAACCCTTGGAACATAATGATAAAACACCGGCAGGTGCAGCGAAGGGGCCGCCGCTCACAGATGACCACAAGGTAAGGCTGGCCCTGGGTGAAAACCTATATCCCATCCGGTTATGTGGACTTGGGTGAGTCCTTTGGGAATCCCACTGCGCTGAGATCAACCCGCAGAAAGAGTCCTGGAGTGGGGGGCGGGGCGGGAGGAGACTCAGGGACTGTGATTCTCCCAGTGACCTTAAGTCAGTTTCATGTTCAGGAGCAAAACAGGGAATTACAGTCTGCTACAATCTCTCAGGTATCCCCTTTCTGCGACTGAGATCTGTAAGTCAGAGAATGGAAAACCAATATTCAGACAACTGTCATAATTCAGGCTCTGATGATTATTATTATTTGGACAGTCCCTTCATTTCTCTTAGCCTCTGTTTTCTCAGCTGTGATGTGGGGCTATTAGTTAAGTGTCCTGCCTAGGGAAGGGAAAGAACCCAGGATGGGCCTTTGGAATTCTAGTTGTGTTTTTGGCCAGTGATTTAGTAATCTTAGCACTTGACAGAGGCAGGTGGTGGGTCTCTGTGAGTTTGAGACCAATCTGATCTACACAGTGAGAGCCCATATATGTGTATTTATATATAAATTTCCCACTTCAAAGAGAGAGTTACGATGAAACAAAATGATGTGTGTGTGTGTGTGTGTGTGTGTGTGTGTGTGTGATCTGCCCAGACTTTGAGCACAAGGCTGGTGTGTCCAGTACTGCTGCTGGCCAGTCTGGGAAGTATGTTTGGGACACTTCCCCTGACTCCTGACTGTCTCCCTTCTGAATGTAGTTTCACAGACCCAGCAATCTCTATGGATCTCCTCCGTGCTGTCTTGCAGCCAAGCATCAATGAGGAGATCCAGAGTGTCTTCAACAAGTACATGAAGGTAAGAGGGGCACGGTGGTTAAAGCTAACAGCACTGCTAAAACAGACAGTACAGCCATGTTCAGTAGCGGGCCCAACTACTCAGGAGACTGAGGCAGTTGACAGCCAGCTGGGAATACATAGTAAGACCCCTTGGTCGAGGAAAAGAGGAATGGAGGCTGGGAAAGTGGTTCAAGGATCAGTAGTGAATACTGCTACTTATGACTCCAGGTCCAGGATCCAGTGCCCTCTTCTGGCCTATTCAGATATATACATGGTGTATATGTTCCACATATATATATGTGTATATATGTATATGTATATATGTATACATGCATACATTTGGAAAATTTTTTAAAGAAAAGGCCAGGCATGGTGACACATGACTTTAATCCCAGCACTCGGGAGACAGAAGCAGGTGGATCTCTGAGAGTTGGAGGTCAGCCTGTTCTACAGAATGAGTTCCAAGACAGCCAAGGCTACACAGAGAGTCCCTATCTTAAAAAAAAGAAGAAGAAGAAGAGTGGACAAAGTGGACGCCCTGCCTTGCTCCTGATTTCAGTTTTGAGTTTTCCCTGTTTAATATAATGTCAGCTGTAGGTCTGTCATATGCAGCCTCTGTTATGCTGAGATACATTCCCTCTCTTTCAAGTTTCTTCAGGACTTTTTATCACAAAGCAACGTTTTATTTTGTCAGAAGCCTTTTCTGGATCTAATAAGATGATCATGTGGTTTCTGACTTGAATCCATTGTGTAATGAGTTACATTGCTGGTTTACAAATGTTGAACCATCCCTGCATATCTGGAGTAAAACTTGCTTACTCATGTTTGCCATGCTTTCTGAAACAAGTATATCGTTGAGAATTTTTCTTCTATGTTCATTAAGAAGTTTGGCCTATAATTTTTTTCATCCTGCTTTGGTATCTGGATAATGCAGGCTTCATAAAAAGAAGTAACTGTAGATGATGTAAAAACTTTGAAGCCACTTTGGGTTTTTGTTTTCTGGATGTTTTGGTTTGTTGTTGTTGTTGGGCTTTGGATTTTTGTTTTGGGCTTTGTTTGTTTTTTAAATTTTTTTTATGTGTATGAGTGTTCTGCCTGCATGCATAGATGTGTGCCACATGTGTGCCTGGTGCACACAGAGGTCAGAAAAGGGTGTTGGATCCCCTACGGCTGGAGTTCACTATGGGAACTGAATCCCGGTCCTCTGGAAGAGCGGCCAGTGCTCTTAACCCCTGAGCCATCTCTCCAGCCCGAGATAGTTTTTGTTCAATTGGTTTTGTTTTTAAAGTCAGTTGTTACTGGGGCTCAAAGAAGCTTAGAATCCATTATATAACCTTGGGTTTTTTTTTTTTTTGTTTTTTGGGTTTTTTTTTTTTTTTTCCGAGACAGGGTTTCTCTGTAGCTTTGGAGTTTGTCCTGGAACTAACTCTTGTAGACCAGGCTGGCCTCGAACTCACAGAGATCCGCCTGCCTCTGCCTCCCAAATGCTGGGATTAAAGGCGCGTGCCACCACCGCCTGGCTGTTATAACCTTGATCCTCCAATTTCAACCTGTGAATGCTTTTTTTTTTTTTTAAGGGAGGTGCTGGAAAGATGCTCAGCAGTGAAGAGTGCATACTGTTTTTGTATGGAGGATCCTAGTTTGGTTCT